ATTATAACCACCACCGTGTTTATTATGTTAGGCATTCCATTTGTAACACTTCGAAATATTTATCTGAGAACCCATAAAGAATATATTCTTGATCAAAATAATATTCTATATCGATACATGCGTGCCTGTCCGTCTGCCTACGATAGAGCTAGAAGAGCTTACGATAGAGATTTTAAATTTTGGAAATGGGTAATGGGTGCTGTATAGTCGGACTGCTTTCCTGGTTCTTATATAAAGAGGGTACATGACCCATTTTCCGGTTTTTGGTTTTTAATTGCCATTAATTGCAATTATAATAAAGTTTCCGATCTTTTTTAAGACATTTTGGTGAAGGGTATAAAAAGTTCGGAACGTCGAAACTTAATGCAATTTTTTCGATCTTTTTTAAGAAATTTTGGTGAAGGGTATAAAAAGTTCGGAACGTCGGAACATAATGTCACCTTTTTCGTGTTAGTGGTATGATGAAGAATGGTTATCTCCATTGGTATATGAATACTGTAGGTTTATACATCTTTCTACTGTGTATAAATAGCATGTTGTTATAAATTAATTACAATGCTATGGTAAGTGCTTTTTGTTAATGATTTGTGCTAACTTTGTCGTTATGATATAATAATTGCATGTGTTTATTTAACGTATTAATAAATAAATATATAAAACCAATTTTACACGGAACAGTTTTTATAAATATTTTTAAGTGCCCTGTGCTGTTTATTGCGTTATGACTTCAATATAAAATAACAAATTAGTAAAATTTATGCTCGGCGATAAGGAATGTATTTTGTGCATTGTTCTCACATATATATTTGTTATTTTCTTATTCCCCTTCAAAACGTATCGAAAAAAATAAATCCAGAGCAACAAACCATTCGCCTATCAACAGCAATTAACGTAAATTGCCGTTAACATTTGAAATAAATAACATCAAATAGAAAATAATACAGCAATAAATAGCATAACCGCGATATGCAATAATTTGTACATTTAAATAGACTCAACTCGACCAAATCAAATCGAAATGAATTCGAATTCGATGGAGTCAAATCAAATCGTAATATACAAACACACAACAACACATACCAATCCGGTCAACTGAACAAAACAATCAAATCGTCCAAACAACCAAGCAACCATCAAACTAACCGACCAGAAAACCCACCAACTGAGCCGAACGAACTAACAAACAAACAAATTGTGCAAGATTGTCAGCCACTCGGCACTTGCACGGTGAAGGGGGGGGCTTTGCGAGGAACATGACTTAATTAATTTGCATTCCGTAAATATTTTGGTGTTTGCAGTAAAAATTAACCAACAAAATCCTTCAGCAGCAACAGCCCACGTTCAAGTAGCCAAATAACCAACCAAGTGCAACACGGAACCAAAAATGAATGCAAGTGGAATTTGGTGGCACAAAGGCAGTTTGGTCTTGACTGCATTTTGAAGCTGCAGCTGCACTCTGTCAGTCAATAGTTTGTGGAAGCCAAAATACACCGGTCACAATGCCGTTGGATATTTTTTATTTTGATGGCTGGTTTTCAAATCTCAGTATCCGACATCATGTGGAAGCCCATATTGTCTGCAGTTCGCTTTAGGTTACACACAAAATGTTCTAATTTTGGACACATTTAATAAATGGTGATCGGATTTGACGACGACATTTTTTCGGCATTGCCTGGGAATGTAATTGAACCGGATTTTCTCAAGTGTGTAACGGTCATGTGTGTGTATGTACTTAATATTGTTTTTCACCCTGTCATTTCAGTGCCTTTGGAATTTATGTTTATGGTCAAAATTAATTATGTCGAAAAAAATTATTTTTCTCTCATACAGAGCAGAACAAAAGTAGGCACGTGATCCCATATGGGTCTTAAATAGATAATAAGAATTTAATGGGTCTACTATAGAATTGACCTTTCACTGGTCTGGTAGATTCTTCAACGGACCGATTTCAACGACACTTGCAAGAGATTAATTTATATTATAGTACAAATAAATAAAATATGTATGGGAGCATATATCTAAATCAGGGCTGTCCACACTAATACATTCAAGTTTTGTGATTGTATTTTTTTTTTAAATAAAAAAATTTCTAAACTTCTGTTTCCATGTCATATACTGTGAGAAATTTTGTAAAAATATTATTTTCAAATTTGAAGGAAGAAAAAATATTATATTCAATGCAAATATGGTTGTTGATGATACATTTTCCCATTTAAAGATATATTTGTTTCTGTTTTGCCCTCCGCCAAAGTATTGGTCACATAATTCGAATTATTCCCCTCTAATGTTTACCAAAAATATCCCAAATTTTTCGGTTAGTGTATGAAAACAAACACATGTATACCCTCCACCATAGTATGGAGGGTATATTTTTGTTTTTCCGTTTGTAACGCATCGAAATAATCATTTCCGACCCTATAAAGTATATATATATTCTTGATCAGCGTAAAATTCTAAAACGATTTAGGCATGTCCGTATGTCTGTTGTAATCACTCTAGCGTCTAAACGAATTGAGATAAAGCTCCAAAATTTTGCATAGAGACGTCTTTTGTCTGCAGGTCAAGTTCGAAGATGGGCTATATCGGTCCACGTTTAGGCATAGCTCCCATATAAGGGTACCGTGTTTTTCAACCGAATTCGCTGAAATTTGGTACTTTGAGTTCTTATTGGGTAGCAAATCTCCCCACAAAAAATTATAAATATAGGTCAATTTTTTCTTGTACCCCCCATAGAACGGTATCCCTAATTTTCGGTATTTTGAGGTTCTTGAGCGCGTTTTTCAACCGAATTCGCTGTAATTTGGTACTTTGAGTTCTTATTTGATACCAAATCTCCCTACTAAAAATTATAAATATAGGTCAATTTTTTCTGGTACCCCCCATAGAACGGTACCCCTCAATTTTCGGTATTTTGGGGTTCTTGAGCGCGTTTTTCAACCGAATTCGCTGAAATTTGCTACATTGGGTTCTTATTGGGTACTAAATATCTCCACAAAAAATTAGAAATATAGGTCCACATTTTCTGGTAGCCCCCATATAACGGTACCTCCTAATTTTCAATATTTTGGGGGTTTTTATCGTATTTTTAAGCCGAATTAGCTGTAATTTCGTATTTTGAGTTCTTAATGGGTACCGAATCTCTCCACAAAGAATTATGAATATAGGTTCATTTTTGCGGATACCCTCCATATAAGGGTACCCCCCATTTTTCGGTATTTTGGGGTTTTTAAGCGCGTTTTCCAAACGAATTTGCTGCAATTTTGTATTTTGTAGTCGTCTCCCTACCAAAAATTATTAATATTCGCCCCCTTTTTGGAGTAGTCCCCATATAACCCCCTTTTTATACTAAAATAGTTACCTGATTTGTTCCTCGTTTTGAGTTTGGTTCTTAGACTCTGTTGTAATCATTTCACTTGCGGAGGATAACGAGATACAAAATTAGAACGTAAGGTTCGATAATGAACTATAGCCGCATTTAGTCAAAAAAGATGGGCAAAGTTTGGATGATATCTAAATTTTCTGAAACAGATTTGGTCCAAAGAAACATGGGGTCTAGAACCAATATTTCGATGAGACACATTTTCACCGTATTAAAGTGTACACACCCTCATTAGCCATAAGGCTAAAGGTATAATTATCCATTAAAAATTTCTGAAATTTGTGTTATGGTTTACATAATCTATTTTTAGAAATGTCGGTGTAGGTCAACTTTTTGGTATGTTCCCTATATTATATATTTCTAGTACCTGCCAGTATATCTATGGTGGAGGGTATCCCGGCCGAACTTTTACTTGTTTTCACTTGTTTATTTTCAGATGTTTCTCTTTTATAATTGTATGTGTGAGCAATTTGACACACACCGACAGCCGATGGGACCTATTTTGGGCACACCTGATCTAAATCTAAACCGATTTTACGGAAATTTGCATAGATCATTCTAGACTTAAGAGAGATATGTAGGGACTTTGGTGCACCATTTACATTAAATCGGCCGAAAATATATATGGAAGCTATATATAGATCTGAACAGCTGGAATTTGATATTCTTATCCTCGCTAGGTAGAAAATCTTCATACTAAAATAATCCTAATCCTAAATGCCGAATTTCGGTATTTTGACAGTTTGCACACGTGTTTCAACTAAACTGGCTGTAAGTTTATGTTTTGCATTGCAATTAATTTTTAGCACAATTTTCACTATTTCGTAGGAGAGGTATCAGAAGAAGTTGGCCGATATTCCCCACCTTCGAACTTGAACTAAGTTTGGAAGAAATATTGTAATGTCCAAAATTGGTTAAAATCGGTTACTCTCTTCGAGAGTTATCGTGCGCACCAGCCGGTCAGAGAGACAGGCGGACGGATGGGCATGCGCCATTGACTCAAAATTGTCTGAAACGGATTGGGATCAAAGAAACTTAGGGTATAAAACCAAAATGTCGATGAGACATATTTTGCCATATCAATGTATTTATTCCCTCATTATCCAATAGGCTGAGGGTATAAAACATTTTCCATATAGGTCAATGTTGTGGTATAGACCACCAACATAAATGTAACGCTGCATTTTTAATATTTTTTTTAGATTTTAGCAGCTTTCGGAAACATCGCGGTATCGTGAAGGTTTTAGCCGTTTTTTTTACTGAATATACATATATATATATATATATTTATATTGAAGCGGATCAACTTTATCTTTATTTATTTTTGAGTATATTTACTTTACGTCTCCACTAACAACCTTGTAATATTATACCCTTTCATTACAACTGTAAATTTACCAATCAAGAAACAGTATAAAAGGAGCGCGAAATTGTAAGAAGTCGCTAATTCATTTAGCGAGCTTTGAACACTACAATACAAATCCAGTCTTGGACAAGTAATGGAAAGTTATTGAGTGCATCGAAGTTCCTAATAGCGACAATGTGAGTCATTTTAAAAAATAATAAAGAATTTGTTATTGTCTTTTGAGACCTACAAATACTTATTGCTTCAATATATTTTTTAGGTAATTTTCAATATCAGGCGATGTTTTGGCACGGCTCTATAGAATGGTATCTTCCTATTTTTGGAATTAATAAGTTTTTAATTAATTTAATTTTCTCCTTGAAGCAGCAAAACTTATTTCCACAAATTAATCAATATAGGTTAATGTCTTGAAACGTCGCGTTTAATTTTCGGCGTATTGAAGTTCCTAAGCGTGGTTTTATATTTATCGGGATCGGGATCGGTGTTGAGAGTTTCTCTCTCTTGAGCGAGTAACAAGCGTACTTTTTGTTCACAAAAGGTACGAATTGTCATAAACGTACCAAAACAAAAATTTGATTTTTTATTATTCGTGGATACATTTACGCTTAAATTATAACATATATTATTTATGCAAATAACTGGTATAAATATTGGCCAATATTTCTCGATAATTATGATTTATTATCATTTGAAGTAGAATTTTAGGTACCTTTTCGTACTTTTTTGTTCCTACCTGTGGTAATGTTTTCCAACACAAATCACAATTTACCACTGAGAGAGAGAGAAACTCTCAAACCGATCCCGATCCCGATAAATATAAAACAGGGTTAGCCAACAATACATATGCAAACTGCTATGATTGTGTTGGACACACGCATAGATCCGTTGGGAGAGTCATTTTCGCTCTCTCGGTACAGATCGTCTATGTTAAAGCATTGCAAAGCATACGACATGTTCGATGTCGAGAATAATGTTGAGTTCGAACACAGAACTGTGTTTGTATTGGTACTCTCCCAAAGCGCCCACGGGCGCCTGTTTGGTGAACAGTGATATAAAACCACTCTAACAGGGTGCGCAAAAATTCGCTCGCGAATGATTCAAAATATATTCTTTTTGTTTTGTGCTCATTTTAATAATGAATTTATGGCGATAAATTCTCTCACAAACGAGTGAGAGCACACAACAACGTTCGTTCGTTTCGTTTGGTGGTTGAAATTCTTTCTGACATTCTCTCACAAATGAAAACAAACATTCCCGAATTCTCGCGAATGCTCAAAACGGCAAAAACAATAACAACAGACGTTCGTGAACTCAATAGTTGTTGGACATGTGTTTTGTTATTCCACACACTTTCTGTTACACACATATTTTTTCGTTGTTTGTGTTAATGATATTATTTTTGTTTGTTGTTGTTTTTAGCAGTGCTCGCGAGAATTCGCGAACATTTGTTTTTTAAGTTTTTCAAAAGAATGTTCTACCGCAACAAATGCTCGCGAACGAATGAATCGGCGACGCTTGCAGCGAAATTTTATCGTTCGTGAATTTTTCGTACAATGCGAACATTCGCGAGAGAATGCAAATGCTTGTGCATTTACAGGATTGCCCATATTCGACGGACCCATGTTTTTGTTTTTTTAATCACAGAAAAAAATAAAAATTTGGCGGTTGGCAATGTTAATCATTTAATTTGTTCCAAGTAGATTTTTTAATCGGGCGAACGCGGTGTCCAGTCCAAATCACAAATTTTCGACATCAAACGGCCCGGAAACAAATTCTTCAGAAAATCGAATGTTATGCGACTTGTGTGCGGTGGAGCGCCGTCTTGTTGAAACCAGAACTGCCTCATACGCTTTCGACGAATAATTGACATCACAAAATTGGTCATCATGATTGATGGTAACAGCATGGCCATTTTCATTTTGGAAGAAAAACGACCCAATGACCGTTTTCGCACTAACGCCGCAACAAACTGTGACTTTTTCGTCATGAAGAGGCACTTCCTGAATCTCCTGAGGATTTTCAGTGGCATAAAAACGGAAATTTTGCTTATTTACGGTCCCATTCGATGTGAAATGGGCTTCATCGGACATGATAATTTTGTTCCAAAATTGCTCGTCATCTTCGGCCATTTCGATGACTCTTTGGGCCCATTCCAATCGACGAGGCTTTTCCGCAGGCAACATTCTTTGCGTCAATTGAATTTTGTATGGGAACAAATGCAAATCAATGCGAATAATCCGTTGTAAAGTGGACCGAGCCATGCCCAACTGCTGAGATCGTACTTCAGCGATATTCTCGGCCGATCGCCTTGGTCGACTTTTATATGGCCTCTTCGAATTAGAAAGAGCCTTACCAGTCGAAATTTTTTCGACTGGTAAGTCTCCTTTTTAATGTTTTAAAAGCACATTGAGTTTTCACAATTGACTTCTTCTGTTGAATGTAAATTTCAACTATTTCAGAGCGCTCGCGTGGCGTGTATTGATTCATGGTAAAAATCTGCTTGGACTGACGCTTCAAACGCGGTATGTCATTAAGCGATGTGACATCTCTGTCAAAAGTTATGACGTTGCCAGATGGGTTCGTCGAATATGGGCAACCCTGTATTGCATGGGTCGCAAAATATACATATGCATTTGTTTGGTCACACAGACACAAAGTGTGCGAGAGTAACTTTCGCTCTCTCGACAAACTTCGTAAAAACAAGCGACAACACAAGCACCTTCATCAACAGCTCAAACGAGACTGGATTGGTTGTTGTTTACGCTCGCGCTTTCTGTGAGTGCACATGTGCGGTCCAATGCCGACTGTTGATTTATTGTAACTTCATCATTCGCGATAAATTGAAAACATTCGAATTCTCGCCCGTGAGCATTCGTGAGAAAGAGCGTATTTTAATCATTCTTCGAACCCTGGTTCCTAACCCTATTACCCAACCTGCATGTCTGCAATTTGGACCATTATGTTTTTCAGAGCATGAAGAATGTTTAGGCATAGCTCCCACATAACTTACCGCCGATTGTAGACACGTCCAAAAATTATCAATAACTTGGTGGAAATTTTTGAAGCATGTGTTGTCAAATGTTACAATATGTCATTGTAAAACTTTGTCAGCATAGGACCTGTATTTTTAATGACCTCATTATAAAAATCCCGCCCGTTTTTATACCCTTCACCACACTGTGGTACAGGGTATTATGTATTTGTGCATATGTTTGTAACAGGCAAAAGGAAACGAGATAGACACATGGTTCCTTTTGAGAATATGCATAGAATCACTTTCTAAGTCGATTTATGCATGTCCGTCCGTCCGTCCGTCTGTAGATGTTAAATTGTAAACAAAGTACAGGTCGCATTTATGATCCGATTTGGATGAAATTTGGCACAAGTCACTTATTTGGCCCAAGGACGAACCCTATTGAAATTGGGAAAAATCGGTTCAGATTTAGATATAGCTCCCATTTATATTTTCCGATTTAATGTAAATGGGGCCTCAAAGTCCCTCTTTATCTTTCGATTTGCACGAAATTTGGCACAGAGTACTGAATTAGGTGCAGAATGATGTGTGCCAAGTTTCGAGAAAATCGGTTCAGATTTAGATATAGCTCCCATATATAGTTTTGTCCGATTTTATGTAAATGGTGTACCAAAGTCCCTATATATCTTTCGATATGCACGAAATTTGGCATAGCGTAATGAATTAGGTCTATAAAGATGTGTGTTAAGTTTCCTGAAAATCGGTCCAGATTTAGATATAGCTCCCATATATATTTTCGTCCGATTTTATGTAAATGGTGTACCAAAGTCCCTATATATCTTTCGATTTGCACGAAATTTTGCACATCGTACTGAATTACGTCTAGAATGATGTGTGTTAAGTTTCCTGAAAATCGGTCCAGATTTAGATATAGCTCCCATATATATTTTCGTCCGATTTTATGTAAAAGGTGTACCAAAGACCCTATATATCTCTCGATTTGCACGAAATTTGGCAAAGAGTAATGTATTAGGTCCAGAATCATGTGTGCCAAGTTTCGAGAAAATCGGTTCAGATTTAGATATAGCTCCCATATATAGTTTTGTCCGATTTTATGTAAATGGTGTACCAAAGTCCCTATATATCTTTCGATATGCACGAAATTTGGCATAGCGTAATGAATTAGGTCTATAATGATGTGTGTTAAGTTTCCTGAAAATCGGTCCAGATTTAGATATAGCTCCCATATATATTTTCGGCCGATTTTGTGTAAATGGTGTACCAAAGTCCTTAAATATCTTTCGATTTGAAAGAAATTTGGCACAGCGTACTGAATTAGGTCTAGAATGATGTATGTTAAGTTTCCTGAAAATCGGTCCAGATTTAGTTATAGCTCCCATATATATTTTCGTCCGATTTTGTGTAAATGGTGTACCAAAGTCCCTAAATATCTTTCGATTTGCAAGAAATTTGGCAAAGCGTACTGAATTATTTTATTAATGATGTGGGTTAAGTTTCCCATATATATTTTCGTGCGATATATAAATGGTTCACCAAAGACCCCAAGGTAGGCCAATTGTCAAAAAATTTGGCACAGCGTACTGAAGTAGATATAACCTAGCTTGAAGCAACCCTGTGTCTGACCAAATGAAAAAAAATTTGTATAGGTTGCAGAATGACATGTTTATGGATCCATTTTCATGTTAATGGTCCTTCAAAAATTCGACGTCTGTTAGGATTCATCTGTTGAATATTCCTTACTGGTTTCTATTGCATCGGAAGTTCTAGATTGAATGTCAGTATACCATTTGTGGAGGGTATAAAAATGTTCGATGTTCGGATTGATTTTTATTTTATTTTTTGCGCGCTTGAAAATTGCATCGCAGATAATTTAAATACAACTCTTAAATGTTAGTTCTATTTATTTCATTTAAAAAGATTATATATCCACGACTTAATGTTATTTATAATTTTTGTTTTTGGAAATGATAATTTAATGTTTTCATGTATATATTTGTATTATTGATTTTTTATATTTCTTCTTATGCCAATAACAAATCTCCGCAATAAAACTTAGTAGGGCAATCGACAATCCCGACAACCACAAAAGAAATGCATACTGAAGGTAAAACAGCGACAGTGAACGATTTGGTTCTTCGTCGGGGAAAAATCGTATAATTGAACTCAAAATTCCATCCCACTTGCTGTCCAGTTTGAATTTATTAAATAACCCACTATCCTGAATATAGGATAAATACCGATTAAAATCATTCAGAAATGGTGAACGATGCGGTATGGGAATGCAAAGTGGTATCGAGTAAAATGATTCCGGGATATATCTGGCAATTGGTCTAGTCATATACAACTGTTGAAAAAGCATAAACTCTACAATATCTTCCATTCCCGTTATTATATTAGGTAAATGCAGATTGTGACGATTTTCCTGAAACTCTGTATTGTTGCCAACGAACATGCGACTGTACAGAAATTTCGGTAAATTTTCCAATGACATTAAATGATCGTATTCCAGGCCGTATACCTGTACACGTAAATTCGTACGAGCAATGTCCTGCAGGGTGTTCAAGTCGGGTTCATAAATACGCGATACATAAATACTGGAGAGATTACAGCCATAGATAACTGTAAAAAATAAACCAATGCAAAGAAATAACATTGTGAGAATAAAATTGAGAAAAGTGGTTTCTTGTAGCAAACCGTCATAAGTGAAAATCAGTACTTTAAAGGAACATAGTAAGCAACCAGATATATCCACTATATTGAAATAAAGCCGTTTTACTGTCAATAAAATTAGAAATATTATTATAAAAATTACATCAGCCATTAGCCACAATTCGGTATCGAAGGTTATCAACAGATATTGGTTTTCGGGAATTTCCTTGCCAACGGCAGTTAGCAGATAATCATGAGCAAAATGTATGGCATTACTCTTCTCAAAGTCGCCTTTGGGCACAACCATTGTGGGTATGAAACTATAACCAGCATTCATAATGAAATCCGTAACAGTTTCCCGATTCAAATCAGTCGACCATATATCGAAGAACTCATATTGTAATGTACCATTGCGCGACGTCACGAATGTTTCAATTGTTTTCCAAAAAAATCCGGTTCGAATCTCAACTCCTTCACGATTGACATAACTGAAGCTCCGTGGAGGATTATGAAAGAGTGGCACTTTTATTTCGAATTTATTAAAATTTTGCTGTTGTAGTAAGTGTTTCATGAAGTCCTGGGGGGTTTCCAGTTGTTTTATTTTTATACTGGGATAGGGGTTATAGCTAAAGACTTTATTTTGCCACCAGACCACAACGGATGTGTGACCCTGTTGCCAAGCTTTTTGAAAGATATCCAAAATTGTATTGCTTTCCATTGTTTTGTAGATGAATATAATAGGGGTATAATGCCGCCTCCACAGCAGTTGATCCAAGGCCATAAAACTTTCGTTCATATTCTGTTGCTTCAGTAAAACCAGACTAAGTATGTTCATATTGAAATTTCGATATAAATTACTCAATTTTACATCTGATGCAGTAGTTATTATTTTCGGTAGCTGCACATTCTGTAAAATCGCCTCCAGTTCCACGCCTTCATTTTCACCAATATTTATAATTAAATTCAATTCAACATTGTATTCAGCATTAAGATGATCCACCATAGCCAGTAGTTTAATTTCTGATTCCATGATTTCTTCTTTCTCTACTTGTTTCATATTTTCGACAAATTGTAATATTGAAAATACAAAAACACTGTAGAGGAGACTATTCGCTGAACTTCTTAGCCACATGTCCACGTAAATACTAAAACCAATCTATACTTTGATAAACGCAACTAAGTTAAAATATGAAATAAAACCAAATGCCTCTCAGCTATTCAGATCATCCTGCTAATAAAATCTATTAAGCCAGATGTTCGAAATACAACGAATGAATTTTCAAAGTGTCCTTATCTCGCCATCTATTTGCGTTTACTGCCTTTGTTGAACATGTTTAACAGGTAAGTGGTGGTTATTAATCAGAAAATTGTTTGATTGAGGGCTAAACGTTCTATGAATTCATGAGATCTAAACCTAGTGTCGACGGTGTCGCCAGGTGGTGGCACCCTATATTCAATTGGACTGTAATAAGTGTGTATTTCCTAAAGAATACTTTTTATACCCTACACAACTATGTTGTCAGGGTGTTATAGCTTAGTGCAGCCCCAAAAGTTTGTAACGCCGCGAAATATTGGTCCTAGACCCACCTTTATACAGATCGTTATATCTCGACTAGCTGAGTCGATCTAGATATGTGTGTCCGTCCGTCTGTCCATTATAATTTGTAAACACGATACAGGCCACAGTTATGGACCAATCTTCACGAAATTTTGCATGTTGGATGGAAAAGATCGATTAATATTTAGGGGATTAAAGGGACCAAAAACTTTATTTTTGTCAGTTTTTCTGGTCGCTCCAGAGGCCGCAATTATTGCCCAAACACCCCGAATTTTTGCATGGAGAAGGAGATCGGACCAAAGAATAAGCATGCCTGTTTTAATAAAGATCGTCAATATTTAGCAGGTCAAATGGACGCTGACTTTTGTGTGAAAAATTACAACATCTTTATTCTGGAGGCATATATACTTGCTCATGAAGGACATATACCCGAGAAGTTGATAGCATATCCAAGCAGAGTTGTTGACCTTAAAATTGATACCAATTATATGGCTGTATGTACTCTGATGTGGGAGTTATCCGTAATTAGGTAAAGGTGACTATGTGCCTAGTATTACTATTGCTGCATTAGAGGGCGGAAATGTCGCGCTAATCGCTTTGAAATTGTACATGTAGTTTCATTGAGGGGGTGCAATGAACAGAAAACTTTAATTTTGTCAGATTTTCTAGTCGTTCTAGAGGCAATTATTATAGCAGAACATCACATATTTTACAAGGTGAAGGGGATCTGACAAAATACTTAGAGCGGCTGTTTAGATGATGGTCTGTCAATATTCCGAGGGTCAAATTAACAAAAACCTAAAGTGACCAAATATAAATAAGTGCAAATATCACGAAATATTGCCCAGGCTCAGAATATAGAACCGCAGAAAGTTAGCTTTTCGTGGTAGTTGTGTAGGGTATCATATGGTCGGCCCCGTCTGACTATACTGCTCCTCTCACTGGATTAAGGACTATATAATATTTTTAAGGATATAGAAAGAATATATTTTGGTGAATTTTTTTAAAGAATGACACTTGAAGGATATTGAAAAAAAAATTTAGTTTCCTTGTAGGGATCGGTATTTATTGTGCAGGTTATATCTAACTCTGATACTTTGCTAACAACTACGAGTAATTAAAAAATTGTCTACTTCGTATAAATTGCATGCTTGCAATAATTAAATTGCAATGTTATGGTGAGTGCTTTTTATATCGTTCACCATACTGCAGTACAGGGAATTACGCCTTTATGCAAGTGTTTGTAACATGCACAAGGAAAGTGGGATAGTCCGATAGTAACTTTAGGGGATATGCATAGGATCACCTTCCGAATCGATTTATGTTTGTCCATCAGTCTTCTGTCTGTCCATGTATTATTTTATTATTTAAAGTACATTCCTCGTGTATGTTCCGAATTATATGAAATTTAAACAGATCATGTATTTGGCCCAAGATCGGACCCTATTACAATTTATGAAAATCGGGTCTAATTTTATATGTAGTTTCATTCGATTTCATGCAAATTTCGTTTTATTATTTTGAGATTTACACATACAAATATCCCATGTTGGTAATATCCCATCAGAATTTTTAGCCACATGCAGGGTATGAAAAGTTCGACTCGGCCGAACTTAACGCATTCTCACCATATGTCCACATAACCCACACGAAGAAAGGTAAACCTCGTTTAAGTTCTTATTAAATAAGTGGTTTCCAACACATAATTCAATTTATGTCACCTGTTTATCAAACTCAAATAATCTATTTTTTACACACAACAAGTTTTCGAATGGTTTTCAAATCACTGTATCCGACAACAAGTGAAAGGTCATACTGTTTGCCGTTCCGTTTAGGTTAACCATAAAAGGTTCTAATTTTGGAACACATTTAATAAATGGTGGTAGGATTTGAGGACGAGATTTTTTTTGTCTCACCCCAAGAATGTAATTGAAATGGTTTTTTTAAGGTTTAACGGTCATGTGTGTGTAGATTTTTATTTTTCACCGTATTTTTGCCTTTGGAATTTATATCTATGATCAAAATTAATTATCCCAAAAGCAATTATATTTTCTAAAAAAGCCGTACAATTTTATTGACAGAAAGGTATAATCATATGTTGATAGAAAAACTAAATAAATTCGGATTATTTTTTCACGGACTGCCAGAAAAATAAGTGTACATTTTCTAGAGAACAGAACGAGATATACCCATAGTCCCTTTTGAGATTATACATAGAATCACTTTCTGAGTTGATTTATGCATACCCTCCCATCTGTTAGTGTTACATTGTAAACAAAGTTGAGTCTTGAATAAAACGTTCTAAGATTCGTGAAAATCGGTTCACATTTATATATAGCTCTCATATATATATATATATATATCCTCACCCTTCACCACTATGGTTACATGCAATACATGTTTATTACTACAATATCCTGTAGAAACTATATATGGCAGCAATATCTAAATCTGAACCGATTTCAACAAAATTTCGCATACATCACTCTAGACCTAATTCAGTACTCTGTGCAAAATTTTGTGTTGATCGGACCAATATTGGAAGTTTGGTGCACCATTTATATAAAATCGAACGAAACTATATATGGGAGCTATATCTAAATCTAACCCGATTTCAACAAAACTTCGCATTCATTAATCATGACCTAATTTAGTTCGCTGTTCACAATTTTGTCTCAATCGGATAAATATTGGCAGTATGTAGCTCCATTTACATAAAATCGGACTAAACTATATATAGCATATTTAGATATAAATCTGAACCGATTCCAACAAAATTTCTCATACATCAATCGGGACCTAATTCAGTACTCTGCGCAAAATGTTGCTTTAGTCGTACCACTATTGGGAGTTTGGTGCACTATTTACATTAAATCGGACGAAACTATACATCGGAGCTATATCTAAATTACAAACATATGTACAAAGACATAATACCCTGTACCACAGTGTGGGGAAGGGTATAAAAAGGGGGTTATAAGGGGACTACCCCTTAAAAGGGGGCGAATATTAATAATTTTTGGGAGGGAGGTTTGTTACCATATACACTACAAAAAACCAAATTACAAAGAAGTTGCTTGAAAAACGCGTTCAAGAACCCCAAAATACCGAAAATTGGGGGTACCCTTATATGTGGGCTACCCGAAAAAATGGACCTATATTTATTTTTATAGTGGAGAGATTTGCTACCTAATAAAAACTCGACGTACTAAATTACAGTCAATTCGGTCGAAAAATACGATCAGAACCCCCAAAATACCAAAAATTTGGGAGTACCGTTATATGGGGACTACTAGAAAAAAATGTACAAAATTTCAGGGAATTCAGTTATAAAACGAGCCCAAGAACCCCAAAATACCGAAAATTGGGGGTACCCTTATATGGGGAATACCCGAAAAAATGGACATATATATATAATTTTAAGTAAGGAGATTTGCTACCCAATATGAACTCAAAGTACCAAATTTCAGCGAATTCAGTTAAAAAACGCGCTAAAGAACCTCAAAATACCGAAAATTGGGGGGGTACCCTTATATGGGAGCTATGCCTAAGCGTGGACCGATTTTCTCCAATTTCAGTAGAAATTGGTACAGGACACTGTACCAAATTTCATCCAGATCGGATCATAAATGCGACCTGTACTTTGTTAACAAAAATACATGGACGGACGGACAGACGGACGGACGGACGGACATGCATAAATCGACTCAGAAAGTGATTCTATGGATATTCTCAAACGGAATCATGGGTCTATCTCGATTATTTTTGCCTGTTACAAACATATGCACAAAGACATAATACCCTGTACCACAGTGTGGTGTAGGGTATAAAAAATGTAATATCAAATTGCCTGTCTGTATCCTAAAGTTGCCCAACAATTAAAATCCTGAAATTATTTTATTGAACTTTCTGAAGACCTCTAAGTGGATTTCTATAAACAGAATACTTTCCTCAAACAGAAAACCTTATGAACAGTAGAGCTTTTTTGGACGGAATACCTTGCAGATGTCCCTATGGAGACTTGTATCGATAGAATAATATAAGAATATCTCTCGAACAAAGAGAGGACCTCAACATTCCGAAGGGTTTCAATTAATAATGTCTCAGTGCTGAAATATCTAATTACCTCTCTTTTCACAAAAGTTGCCGGACAATTGGTTTTAGCACGACAGAATCATGTTTTTGACTGCTTGTTTACATTTAGACCGGCGGCCATTTGGCAACGAACGATGTTATTGTCAATGATTTTTGTACATATTTTGGTTTTCCATCCGCCGGAGTTAAGTTGTTGGCAGCAGACATTGTTCACCGGCTATGTGGGCTTTGTTGTGGTGCTGCGTTCTCACACATTTGATAGGTTTGTGGTTTGTCTGAATGTGTATGAAAAAAAAACTAAATAAATGTTGTTGTTCATTTTATATTTTTCCGATTTTGTTATTGACTTCAATTTAATTTTTTTACTTTTCCTTTGCAGTTAAAATTTTGCACCTGGTTTTTGT